GTCCCCGCCCGTGTCGCGCAGCAAAGAGAAGTCGGCGCTCCAACCGGCTCCAGTTGGTTTTCAAATTTGAAGTGGGAGACACCCCAGGGTCCCGCCTCCAGGGCGAGGTGAGAGCTTGTCGGTTCCCCGCATTTCCTACCTAGACCAACGGTGCCACCGACTCGCGTACTCGGGGGTTTGCTTCTTTGGGAATTTTAAGCAAAACAGCACTCCCGGGCGCCCAGGGGTCCCCGAGGCCTTCCGGGAGCCGCGTCTCTGTCTGTTTTCGCGGTGGGCCCGCCGGCGCGGATGGGCCCGCGAGCGTCCGCGGGCGGCGGGGCGTCGCTGTTGGGTCCGTCCCCCCCCACAGCCTTCCGGACCCCCCGATTCTCTCTCCCCGACCGCCACGATCACCTCGGCAAACAGAACAAAAACACGACTCACATCTGTACCCGAGAGCGCCCTAGGCTCGAGGCTTCCTCTCCCAAATTACAGTCTCCAAGTCCATGCTTCAGGTTAAGTGAGCTGGCGGGGAGGGGAGGCAATGATTACTGACTAACGCTACTACGTAACCAAAAAAAAAAAAAAAATTGTCAGGTCTGAAGATGAGGCCGTCACAGGTAATTTCTGAACCTCGTCGAGAAGCCCCAACAACTCGCGTTTCAAGGAAACGGCGACTCCGCGGGTCGGGCCCGGCGTCGCCTCGCTCACCTTCTCGGGGGGAGCTGCCAGCTCCGGCACGTCCTTTTCTTCTAGTTTACACACAAACCTCTGATCGCTTTTCCAGTACATGGCACCGCCAGGGCTGCTTATCTCATACCAGCTCCGAGGGTCAGAGGCTGTCCGCGTCCGCCGACCCCCCTCCCCCGCCCCCGGGCGCTAATAAAAGCTGACACCCCGAGGAGGGAGAAACTACCAGCCTGTCTTCCTCCGCAAAGGCCGCCCTGGCCCTACCCGTGCTCGGGTAGACAGACTCCTCTTAAGATTTTTTTTTCTCCCCCCAACTTCGCTGAGGTCTGTCCCTCCAGGAAAAGAAAAGGGGGGGGAAAGTTTGTTTTGCAGAGGGTGGAACCTTACATAAAGGGAGGGAAGGGGGTGTGTGGGGGGGGAAAGTCTTTTCCTGGAGGAAGAGCCTCACCTCCTGCAGGAAAACCCGCCTTCTCTCCATGTTAAGATCTTTATCAGGACAAGCCAACCTAGTCCAGAGTTAGCATTAAAGGGGGAAAAAAATCATTGGGAATGGCCCTGTTAACTTTTGACTTAAAAAAAAAAATCTGCTCTCCGCTTTTGCCGTGGCTTTTTAATTCTCGCTTCCCAACCAAAACCTAAACAAAGATTCAGGTTACATCTCTTGCCGCCGCGCGCCGAAGGGGAAGCGGGTCTGGGAGACGCGGAGGGTTAGTCATTCTCCTGAAATGCGCACCTCCCGGGCCAGCCCAGGGCCGAAGCCGCTCCTGGCAGCCTGGGGCTGGCGGCTCTAGCGGGAGGCGCTCCCTTTGCGAAAAGTTTTCTCGTTGAGATAAAGAAGGAACAGTTGAGCAGCACAACAGCTTACGAGTTGAAACTAGATTTGAAATCGAGGCGATGAGAAAAGCAAAAGTATGTTGCTCATAGTCTTGCGCTTTCATCTCGTCCTAGACAACATTGAAGCCCGAAAAGCAGCCAGATTCAGCCTCAATGTGTGTCTGCGGGTTTGGGGAGAGAGGGGATGGTCTTCAGAAGACCTTAATTTTGATGAGGATTGGCGGGTGTGTCTGTTTAAATAGCTTCTTTCGAGTGTAAATTTTTACTTTGTTACTTCGTGGTATGAAGGGGAATTTGGTAAGAAACTTTTAAAACAATAATTTTTATCCCCCCTTTCCCCCTTTTTAAGAAACAAAACAAACTTCTGAACCATAAGTAATAAAATACTTGGAGTCTGCTTTCTAAAGGCCTTTAACAAAAGTAGATGTCGCTTCAATTAGACGAATATATATATTCTTATCTCCTTTCCCGGTCTAACAGTCTGGGACCGAGCAAAGACAGCAAATCTACTTTGTCCTCAATTACATTTTTCTCCCATAAAAACGAGGGTCCCTAGAGCATTTTCCTTTTTCGCTCAGCTCTCCCGCGTTAATATTAGCGCCCCCCACCCCCGCCCCGTCCTCTCTGGAAAATCTTGCTTAAATTTACTGGGGAGGAGGTGGGGGACGCTATGCTTAATCTGTGCCCTCTTACAGAATTGAAAGTTTGAGGTGGACCGACTTCTCAAAAAGCTAGCCTGCACGTGCAAAACTCAGTATTTTTGAAAAATCCACATAATGCATTGCCATTGCCATAAAATAGCATCGGTCACGAGATGACTCTTCGGAATGAAGGGTGTGCAGAACGTGGGCTTTGTCAGGCCGCGTGTGGAGCAGGATGGAAAGTGGAATGAAAAATAAAGACCCAGCTCGGAGGAGACTTGGTTGCCGTTTTTTATTGGTTGGGGTCTGCCACATGAATCTGGGGTGCTGTGTGGCTACTTTCGGGGGGAATGAATCGCGGTCAGTTGGAGATGCGGAGAGCGCAGGAGCTGTTTTGGGAAGTGAGGCGGGGGCGCGGGCGTGTATGCGGTCTTTCCACCCACCCTCGCCTAATCAGGCGGCTCTCAATCAGGTTTTCAAAATACTAATCTCGATCCGAGAGCTCCTATCAGCGCATAAGTGGAGGAAATGATTCATTTTTTAGAGGCTTCTGGGCTTGGGGAAGATGAAGGGTCGTCAGACATAGACAGAAGACCTAAAAGCTGGTCCGGCGGCCGCCTCATTCCTGGCGCCCGGAGGGTCGCGGGCCTCTCCGCCGGGTAACTGCGCGCATCCAGCCCTGCCATGCAGCAGGCCTCTGCCGGTGAGTCTATTTATGCTTCCCAGGCGCCGTGTCAGCCTTCGGTGGGGGTCTGGTGAGGAGTCGGGGAGGAGGGGTGTGCAGGTATTTGCTTTGAATGTCAAGGCTGAGCGTCCCGCGCGGGTTCTGGGCCCAGGGACCTCCAGGCCACTTGCCAGGGGCGAGCACAGAGCGGGGTTTCTCCTGCTCTGTGGCCGGGTTCCGGAGCCAGTGTCCTTCCTCTTACCCAGGCTCCTCCTCCCCTGGCTGGGACCAAGGAAAAGTTCCACTGCTGCTTTGCAGAGTCTCTCTTCCCACGTTGGGCACTTGTGCTAAAAGTCAGGACTCTTTTTGTCTTCGCAGTGAGGGTTTTCATCCCAAACTCCAACTGAGAACAATGTTGGTCGAACGAGGACAGGCCAAAAAACATCATCTTAAGCGTCTAAAGGGGTGAGAGGAATCTGCCTCTTTGTGGCGACTTTTACATACTAACTGGACATTTCTAGATGTCCACCTCTCCCTTAAGTGAAAATCGGAAATCGCCAGTCACACCGGGGCGGGATTACCAACACCTTTGGACGGCAGAGCTCTTTGCAAAGAAAGCCAGACAGGGTTGGGAGTGCCTCCTGTCCCGGACTACGAGGCTCCCAGGCCAGATGGGAGGCACTGGGTGTGTCTCCCGAAAGCCCGAGGGGGTCGGAAAGGGGTCTAGGTTGCGTAGAGCCCAGGCCTTGATTGGAGGTCCGGGGCTGGAGAGCAGGAACCCCGCCCTGACCCCCACAGCTTCCACTCACCTCCGAGAGCCACCTAATTGGGCTGCGAGCAGCTGCGAAATTTGTAAGCGCCTCCTAAGCCTTCCACCTCGGTAATTCTTATCAAAAGGCATAAAACTGATGTTTTCACACTCGGCTGGCGCCGCGGGAGCCGTTTATAAACACCCTTCATCAGTGGGGTGAAATTAAGCCTGCATTGACAGAGGTCTCCGCAACTCGATATTTAAAAGCAATAGATCCGAATTAGCAAATTATTACTTTACCTAGGGAAAGTCCCCACCAACTTGACTCTTGAACCCCTTGCCTCCGAGCTCCTTGCGGCGAGTAACCACAGGTTTGAGAGAACTAAACCTGGAGTTTCCAAGGTACTCCAGCGGCCTCTGGAATTTCCTTCCTGACCCGCTCCCAGTCCTCCCAGCAGCATCGGAGGACGCGCCTGGAGATCAGACCTGGGCCTGTACGCAAACGTGGTCACGGGAGAGATGTGTCCAGGGTTCCCCGGCCAGCAGGCGAAGGGCCAGCGCCAGCCTTTGGGGTCCTTCGCTCTCCCGGGTGGATGACCCCCACTAACGCGCCCCCTTCCCCCGCCCCAGGATGAGCCAGGGGCCAGGCAGAGGACTGTGGGCGGGTGGAGCTGGGGAGACCTCTGCACCGGTAAGAAGGCGAAGCTTCTGGCTGATTCTTGTGGCGCCTTCATTACCCATGAAAGTAAAAAAACCAAAACCCGAAGCCCAGCGCGCTCTGAAACTGCCGGCGGTCACACTTGCTTCAGAGTTGGGAAAGGATATTCTTGGATCTTCGCCCACCCCGTCTAACCATTATTAATATTGACGGGGAAGTGACTGAAGGCCATAGCTTCCAAAGTTTTTTTTTTGCACAAACTTGCGCAGCTCAGCAGCCGCATCACCCCTCGGTGGTCCAGGAGCTGGACACTCACACACCTTGGGGTTCACCGGTCCCAGGCTCTTTCTCAGCCCGAGTCCCCCAGTCTCCAGGGAAAGGGAAGCGCGCTGTATTCACGCCAGTGGAGGTTGCCCAGACACAGGTGGCGAGGGCTTCCGTCTGGGACCCACTGTCTCGCCCCCACTGCGCACCGAGGCCTGGGCTGGACAGGCTTCCCAGCGAGGCCCGCGTGCGGGGCAGGGACAGCGGGAGCGCACTGGCTCGCAGACACGCAGACCTGGACTTGGATATCTGCTCCGACCTGGCCCTCCAGATGTTTGTTTTGGTAACTGCAGTGAGACGCGCCACTGGGGCCAATGGTCTCCAGCGGTTCCAGGGACCCAACAACCGAAAGCCCAGTTGTGCACTGGAGAAGGTGTACAAGCGGACTCCTCGTTTCTTTTCAGCCGGGGCGCTCCCGCCGGTCCTTCCCGCGCCTCCACCCCTCCTCCCCTTTCCGCCCCAGAGACGCAGTAAAGTCGCTGGCCCTTTGAGGAAGGAGAGAGCAAAGGGTTTCTCTCGGACAGGACGGGTGATAGAGAATTAGGAGCCCTGTGGGGGCTCCACAGCCAGAAATTAGGCTGGGGGCAGTCTGGGATGCTCTTGGGCTAAATGCTACTGCGCGAAGCGCGGAAGTCCATTGCGCCCTTTACTCGTTGTGACATTTCCAAGCCGACAATCTCGCCTTAAGCACGCGTGCGGTTTGAAGCTGCTGATTTTATAGGCATTTTATCTTTCAGGGTGAGCACAGGATGGCACCAGGGGAAACCTGATTGGAACCTTTTCCTACAGATCTCTACCCACACAACTCTGTAAAAACCAAACTACTAGGTGGAGGGGGGCGAGGGGGAACACACCGGAAAAGCTGAAAACAAAACCCCAAGAGCTCTTTCACCTCCTTCTCCCCTGCCCGGAGTTTTCTTAGGCGTCCTAGGCGTTAGGGGTGGGTTTAGCCTGGAGCTCACTAATCTAGAAAGAGCGCGCTAGCCCAAACCCTGCAGGCTCCCCCTCCTTCAACCCCATATTCCACAGGGATCCCGAAGAGTCGACTAAAACCCAGCCAGGGAGGCAAGAAAGCCAACGTTGATCTGAGCGCAAAGACACGGGCGCCAGACCGTGTTCCGCGGGTGGAGTGGGGAGGGTGGTGTGGCACGGAGCTAGCTGTGTGGGCCTCCTGTCTGCAGGCGTCACCCAGGTTTGGGGAAGGGAACGTCCACTCAGGTTGGCAGCCAG